ACTTAATAATAATAATAATAATAATAATAATAATAATAATAATAATAATAATAACAACAACAACAACAACAACAACAACAACAAATGCCACATCCAGTCTAAACATCTGGCTGACTCTGCAATGATTGATGATGATGATGATGATGATGATGATGATGATGGAAGGGATCTTGGAGGTCATCTAGTCCAACCCCCTGCTCAGGCAGGAAACCCTATACCATTTCAGACAAATGGCTGTCCAGTCTCTTAAAAACTTCCAGTGTTGGGAGGGAGGAAGGAAGGAAGAAAGGGAAAAAAATAACAATAACAGATGGAAGGGACCTTGGAGGTCATCTAGTCCAACCCCCTGCTCAGGCAGGAAACCCTATACCATTTCAGACAAATGGCTGTCCAGTCTCTTAAAAACTTCCAGTGTTGGGAGGGAGGAAGGAAGGAAGAAAGGGAAAAAAATAACAATAACAGATGGAAGGGACCTTGGAGGTCATCTAGTCCAACCCCCTGCTCAGGCAGGAAACCCTATACCATTTCAGACCAATGGCTGTCCAGTCTCTTCTTAAAAACTTCCAGTGTTGGAGCATTCACCGCTTCTGGAGGCAGGTGGTTCCACTGGTTAATTGTTCTCACTGTCAGGAAGTTTCTCCTTAGTTCCAGGTTGCTTCTCTCCTTGATTAGTTTTCATCCGTTGCTTCTTGTCCTGCCTTCAGGCGCTTTGGAGAATAGCTTGACTCCCTCTTCTTTGGGGCAGCCCCTGAGATACTGGAACACTGCTATCATGTCCCCCCTCGTCCTTCTCTTCATTAAACTAGATATTCCCAATTCCAGCAACCATTCCTTACATGCTTTAGCCTCCAGTCCCCTAATCATCTTTGTTGCTCTTCTCTGCACTCTTTCCAGAGTCTCAACATCTTTTTTACATTGTGGGGACCAAAACTATACAGGATTCCAGGTGTGGCCTTACTAAGGACTTATAAAGCGGTACTAATATTTCACATGATTTTGATTCTATGCTTCTGTTTATACAACCAAGGATTGTATTAGCTTTTTTGGCTGCCGCCGAACACTCCTGGCTCATGTTTAAGTGATTGTCCACCAGGACTCCGAGGTCCATCTCACAGTTGCTGTTTTTGAGCCAGGTTTCACCTGATCTGTACTTGTCCCTTTGGTTTTTCCTGCCTTGGTGTAAAACCTTGCTTTTTCTCCACATTAAATGTCATGGTGTTGGATAGGGCCCATTGTTCAAGTCTGTCAAGACCTTTTTGGATCCCGAACTTGTCTTCTGGGGCGTTGGCTACTCCTGCCAGCTTAGTGTATAGTAATCCTTTGAAGATGTCCAGGTTAAATCTTTTTCCTGCCAAACCAGATCTTAAGGAGGTGATTTAGGATGACGATCCATTCTTTTTCTGTTACCTAGCAGAGTCTTCACTTTCTGCCATTATCTAAAATAAAATAATATTCTAAATATTCCTAAAATAAAATAATATTCTCCAAAGCGCCAGAAGGCAGGACAGGAAGCAACAGATGGAAACTAATTTAGGAGAGAAGCAACCTAGAACTAAGGAGAAATTTCTTGAGAGTTAGAACAATTAACCAGTGGAACTCCTTGCCTCCAGAAGTTTTGAGTGCTCCAACACTGGAAGTTTTTAAGAGGAGACTGGACAGCCATTTGTCTGAAATGGTATATAGGGTTTTCTGCCTGAGCAGGGGGTTGGACTAGATGACCTCCAAGGTCCCTTCCAGCTTTATTATTATTATTATTATTATTAAATTCTTTTTCCTGTAGCCTCCCCTTCTAATGCAATCTTAAAGTTTATTTATAAAAAGAAGAGGTGTGGTTTTGCGTGGAAGAGTAGACCTGGCAATTGTTAAAGTGAATTTTGCCTCATTTTATGAACTTCCTTGCCACAATTGTTAAGTGTGTCACTGCACACTGCAGTGCATTTAATTTGATTTTAGAATAGATACTTATTGTGCTTTTATTATCGCCTGTTCACCGCCCTGAGTCCCGTAAGGGAGGTAGGGCGGTATACAAATCTAAATAAACATAAACAAACAAACAATTGTTAAGTGTGTCACTGCAGAGGTTAAGTTAGCAACGCGGTCGTTAAGCGAATCCAGCTTCCCCAGTGACTTTGCTTGTTAAAAGGTGACACAAAAGGGGATCACGTGATCCCCGGGACGCTGCAACCGTCCTAAATGTGAGTCGGTTGCCAAGCGGCCTGAATTTTGATCACGCGACCCTGGGGATTGCTGCGACGGTCGTAAGTGTGAAAAATACGTCCCTCTTTTAAGTGCCGTTGTATCTTTGAACGGTCACGAGTTGTTAAGTCAAGCCCCGCCGGCGTTATTTTTGCAAACTCTCTTTTGAGTTGCATATGAGGTGTGAATTTGTTTGATTGATGATGCAACTTTGATTGGTCCTTAAGTGAACTGTCGTTAAGTCGGGGACTACCTGCGCTCAATTATTTTGAATTCTCTCTTGCTAAAACAGAGTTTAGGATTATCCAGGGGTGAACAGAGCATCTAAACAGCTTCCGGGGCAAAGAGCGGAAGATTTGATGCTTAAGTTGGTGTCAGACCTTTTTTTGTTGTTGTTGCAGAAATGAATTATAACGGAGGCAGCAGCTACCCTTGGTTCGCTGTTGATGAACTATAGTTATATATAGAAAATGAGTTGGGTTTGTTTCGGGGGAAAAAAGAGACAGGAAATGATTAAAGACAAGAGCAGGGCCTTCAACGCGGCTCTTTGCGGCCTTCTTCGCAAGGTTTCTTGAAGAGTTGATGCCACCAGGTGAGTTTTCTCCTAACACACATTGGTGATTGGGCCGTTTCCGATGAGCCTCTGCAGAGTTTTTGCTTTCGAAATGAGCGTTCGTCACCCAAACCCTCAATTTGAGAATCACGCAGTTAGTTTTCGACTCACAGCTCACACTTAAGAACCCTTACTTACAGCATTTCGGCCACGTGATCAAAATCCGTAGGCTTGGCAACTGGCATGTACTTGTGACGGTTGCAGCGTCCCGGGGCGATCCCCTTTTACAGCCTTCTGACAAGCGAAGTCAACGGGGTTCGTTTAAGAACCACAATTCCTTTAACAACTTAACAAGGGTGACAAGCCAGGTTGTAAAAATGGGGCAAAACTCACTGAACCACCACCCTGCTTAGCAGCAGAAACTTTGGGCTCAGCTGTGTCCGTAAGGCGAGGACTAGTGGTAATCGAATTTTAAAATCCAGAAAATAAGTGTTCAGGGTTCTTATATCTCTTTTCGTTTTGAAGGCAAGGCAAATTGTGTGTCCTGCGACACAGTGAAAAATGCCTTGCTGAAGCAGTTCTACTTGGAGTTGTATCTTCTTAGCAAACCTCTCGTCCTGCCTTCCATCAGCCTCAACCACCTGGGCCACAGCCCGTCCTGCTTGGGGCCGATTAAGCCTTGAAAGATATCTTTGCTGCTCCAGGTTGGGAGAAGCTGGCGCAAAGTCCGAGGAGCAGGTTTTGCACCCGAGGCGGGCCCTAAACCAAGGCCCGGTGTTTGAGCAAGTCTCCGCCCTCGTTTCCACCTACCGGTAGTCCTCGGCTTACCAACAGTTCACTTAGCGACCGTTTGAAGTTACAAGGGCACAGAACAAAGTGACGTGACCATTTTTCGCCCTTAATGACGGTTGCACCTTCCCTGGGGTCACTGGGATCAAAATTCGGACGCTTGGCGACGGGCTTCTATTTACGACGGTCGCGGTGTCCTGGGGTCACGTGATCCCTTTTTGCGACCTTCCAAGAAAGTCAATGGGGAAGTCGGATTCACTTAACAAACGGATTGCTACGATAACTGCAGTTAAGTTGCTAACTTAAGAACTGTGGCGAGAAAGGTTGCAAAACAGGGAAAAATTCGCTTAACAAATATCTCTGGCAACAGAAATTTTGGGCTCAACTGTAGTTGTAAGTAGAGGACTAGCGGTATAGTGGCTAGGATAGCCAATGTTTCATTTATAGGTAATTCTTAACTTGGAACTATTCGCTTAGCGACCGAAATTAGAACAGCACTAACCAAAGTTTTCCCCCCCCCCCGTGCGACTGTTGTTGCAGTCTCTCCCTGTAGTCACACGATCAAAATTCGGACGCTTGGCAACCGGCTCATATTTATGACGGTTGCGGCATCCCGGAGTCACGTGATCCCCTTTTGCGACCTGACAAGCAAAAGGGAATCCAGATTCACTTAACAACCGTGTTGTTGATTTAACAACTGCAGTGATTCGCTTAGCGACTGCGGCAAGAAAGGTAAAAATGGGGCAAAACTCACTTAACATCTGTCTCGCTTAGCAACAGAAATTTTGGGCTCAGTTGTCATAAGTCAAGGACTACCTGTATTATTGTTGTTGTTATTATTATTATTATTGATCATCGCACAGTCAGCCAGATGTTCAGACTGGATTTGGCGTTTTTGTCTACCTATCTACTACTACTACTACTACTATTATTATTATTATTATTATTATTATTATTATTATTATTATTAATCGCACAGTCAGACAGATGTTCAGACTGGATTTGGCGTTTTTGTCTACCTATCAAGTATTACTGCTACTATTACTACTACTACTACTACTACTACTACTATTATTATTATTAATCATCATCATTGCACAGTCAGCCAGATGTTCAGACTGGATTTGGCGTTTTTGTCTACCTATCAAGTACTATTATTATTATTATTATTATTAATCGCACAGTCAGCCAGATGTTCAGACTGGATTTGGCATTTTTGTCTATCAAGTATTACTACTACTACTATTACTACTACTACTACTACTACTACTATTATTATTATTATTATTATTATTATTATTATTATTAATCATCATCATCATTGCACAGCCAGATGTTCAGACTGGATTTGGCGTTTTTGTCTACCTATCAAGTACTAGCCTATCGCTCCGAAGGTTTGGTGTCGTTGGTGCTGACGGCTTCTCCTTCTCCTCTGCTTCCTTCCCCGCAGCAGTGGTCCTTCATGGAGGAACATACGGTGACCCAGACCGAGCACATGGCAACCATAGAGGCTCACGCCGTGGCCCAGCAGGTCCAGCAGGTCCACGTGGCCACCTACACGGAGCACAGCATGCTGAGCGCGGACGAAGACTCCCCGTCTTCTCCCGAGGACACGTCCTACGACGACTCGGACATCCTCAACTCCACCGCCGCCGACGAGGTGACGGCCCACCTGGCCGCCGCAGGTAGGTTGGCTCTGCCGGCTTCTTGCTCCCTTCTTGAGCCACACCTGGAGGGCAGGTGGAGGCCCATAGGTCCCTTTCTCATCCCCGTCATTGGCTTGGCCTGCAATAAAACCACACCTGGAATGCTGCATCCAGTTTTGGTCACCAGGTTACGAAAAAGAGGTTGAGACTTTGGGGACAGTGCAGAGAACGGCAACTATAATAATAATAAAGTTGGAAGGGACCTCAGAGGTCATCTAGTCCAACCCCCTGCTCAGGCAGGAAACCCTATACCATTTCAGACCAATGGCTGTCCAGTCTCTTCTTAAAAACTTCCAGTGTTGGAGCATTCACCGCTTCTGGAGGCAGGTGGTTCCACTGGTTAATTGTTCTCACTGTCAGGAAGTTTCTCCTTAGTTCCAGGTTGCTTCTCTCCTTGGTTAGTTTCCATCCGTTGCTTCTTGTCCTGCCTTCAGGTGCTTGGGAGAATAGCTTGACTCCCTCTTCTTTGGGGCAGCCCCTGAGATATTGGAACACTGCTATCGTGTCCCCCCTCATCCTTCTCTTCATTAAACTAGACGTCCCCAATTCCAGCAACCGTTCCTTATATGCTTTGGCCTCCAGTCCCCTGATCATCTTGGTTGTTCTTCTCTGCACTCTTTCCAGAGTCTCAGCATCTTTTTTACATCGTAGTGACCAAAACTGGATGTAGGATTCCAAGTGTGGCCTTACCAAGGTTAGGAAGATTAAAGGCCTGGAGACAAGAACGTAGGAAGAACAGTGGCAGGATTTCGGTTTGGTTAGTCTGGAGTAAAGAAGGACTAAGGGGGACATGGTTCCAGCATTTGAGGGGCTGCCCCAAAGAAGAAGGGGGGGGGTCAACTTATTCTCCAAAGCACCAGAAGGCAAGACAAGAAACAATGGACACTAATTAAGGAGAGAAGCAACCTGGAATTAAGGAGAAATTTCCTGACAGTGAGGACAATTAACCAGTGGAACAGCTTGCCACCAGAAATTGTGGCTGCTCCAACACTGGAGGTTTTTAAGAAGACACTGGACAGCGATCTGTCTGAAATGGTCTAGGGCAGGGGTAGGCAACCTCAGCTCTTTTATGACTCATGGACTTCAACTCCGAGAATTCCTGAGCCAGCAGGGCTCAGCTTGGAAACCTCTCCCTGTCTCCTCAGCATGGCTGGCTCAGGAATTCTGGGAGTTGAAGTCCACCAGTCATAAAAGAGCCGAGGTTGCCTACCCCTGGTCTAGGGTCTCCTGCTTGAGCAGGGGGTTGGACTAGATGACCTCCAAGGTCCCTTCCAGCTCTATTCTGATTGTTTGACTGACTGACTGACTGACTGATTGATAGTTAATACCAAAAATATGTTACCCATTCCTGAAAGATATTTTTTTTAAAAAAAAAGCTTACAGCTCCAAAGATCATAAGTGCGAATAATGGTCCTAAGATGCTTTTTTCAGCCTTGTTGTCATTTTGAACGTTCGCTAATCGAACTGTTGTAAGTCGAGGACAACCTGCCTTCATTTTACAAAAGAGCAAAGAAAAGGCCAGTTTTTATTTCTATTTGTACTTTCGATCTGGGTTTTTTTTTCAGGATTTCCCTGAAGCCAAAACAAGCAATTTAAAAATCGTAGCCTGCAGAGGGCAGCAGAACAGTAGTAACCGACCTTGTTTATTTTAATTTCTTAAGTTAGGGAGCTCATTAGCCTTATTCTCTAGTTACAGTGTTTCTCAACCTTGACCATTTTAAGGCATGTGGACTTCAACTCCCAGAATTCCACAGCCAGCAACGCTGGCTGTGGAATTCTGGGAGTTGAAGTCCACATGCCTTAAAATGGTCAAGGTTGAGAAACACTCCGAGTCTAGTAGCTTAAGCTAGTCCTAGCCTGTGTTTGTTTAATTCATTTATTTGCAGTTCATGTTTCTTAATCTCCCACCTCCCTTGTGTTCCTTTGGGCTTTATTTTCACATTCCAAGCTGGTTGTGGGAAGGATAACAACAACAACAATAATAATAATAATTCCCGCGATTCCCGGCCGTTTGCCCCCTTTTTTGGAGGAACCCTCTGCCCCGCTTTGCGACGGGGGATGATGGGAGCTGTCGCCCACCACATCTGGATAGGGAAGATCTCTCCGGCCGGGTCTGGCTTTCCTCCCGTGGGTGTTTCAGGTCTCGTTTTTGTCCCCAGGGCCGGTGGGAATGGCCGCCGCAGCCGCCGTGGCCACCGGGAAGAAACGGAAGCGGCCCCACGTCTTTGAATCCAACCCCTCCATCCGCAAGAGGCAGCAGACCCGGTTGTTACGGTAAGAGGGCTGGTCCGGCCTATCCCAGGATTCCCTCTTCCAGCTGGGGGGGGGGCACGGCACGGGGCCTTCCGGTTGGGTGCCGAGTGCTGGGCTGCAAACAGGGTGGGGTGTGTGGGGTGGGACCCCCGATCCTGCTCAGTTCGGACGGAGCTTCCTCCAGCCTAGCTTTGTCCAGGGAACAAAGGAGTTGACCTGTGTGGGGCTGTGCAGCTGACCTACGAAGCGGTTGAGAGGTCAGCCCTGCGAGGTAGGCCAGGCTAAGAAAACGATACCATGGAGGTCAATAGCTGCTTCATTGTGAAGCTCTAGTAACAGACTCTGGCAAATCTGGAGGTGATTTTCCCCCCATTTCACTCTATCATCTTATCTATCCATCCATCCATCCATCCACCCACACTCTCTGTGTCTGTATGTATGCATGTATTGTGCCTGCCTACTGTCTGTCTGTAAATCTTATCTATATTCTTTCTTTCTTTCTTTCTTTCTTTCTTTCTTTCTTTCTTTCTTTCTTTCTTTCTCTTTCTGCCTGCCTGCCTGTCTCTCTATCATCTATCATCTATTATCTTTGTCTTTCTGTCTATCATCTATCTTGTCTATCTTTCATCTATTGTCTATATTATCTATCTATCTATCTTTCTGTCTCTATCATCTCTCTATCATCTATTTGTTTGTCTTTCTATCTATCATCTATCTTGTCTATCTTTCATCTATTGTCTATATTATCTATCTATCTTTCTGTCTCTATCATCTCTATCATCTCTCTATCATCTATTTGTTTGTCTTTCTATCTATCATCTATCTTCTCTATCTTTCATCTATTGTCTATCTATTATCTGTCTATATCTACCATCTATCATCTCTATCTTTCATCTGTATTATTTATTATCTGTCTATATCTATCTATTGTCTATGTATCTATCTATCTTTCATCTACGTATCTATTATCTGTTTGTTTGTCTATCTATCATCTATTGTCTATCTTTCATCTATTATCTGTTTGTTTATATTTCTATCTATCTATCTATCTATCTATCTATCTATCTATCTATCTATCTATCTATCTATCTATCTATCCATCCATCCATCCATCCATCCATCCAGATCCTATGGCACGTAGGGTTTTGGGGGTGGCAACCAACCAACATCTTGATAGGAGAGAGAAACAGATCGCTAAGACTACTTTTGCAATAAGGTGTGACAAGGAGGAACCTAGAGGTCCTATCACCACCCCAGCAACTTCATCTTGGAACCCCGTGAAGCTTCCTCTTCAAGGATGGTTCCATGTAAGACCCATGGCAGTAGTCCCTACGACAGTTGGCCAAAGCAGGAGTGATGGGGCAGCTACGTATTTTTATCCCTTATTTACCCTGATAGTAGAGTTACCTTCTGCTATTTACCAGCACAGGCTTCCTTCTCATTGGGCCTGGCAAGGTATGGTGCCATGCACAAGTCTAGGAGGCAGGACACGCATGTCACGGTTCCAACAGATGAAACTCTTCAAAGAACTTCGAGGCATTGTTTACCTTAAAGAATCTTTATTAGAGAAGCATAGCATTGGCACTAACACAGTCGAAGCCAAAAAACTGAATTCCCCTCCCCTCAGCACATAATGTTGTTGTTGTTAGTTGCAAAGTCGTGTCCGACCCATCGCGACCCCATGGACCACGTTCCTCCAGGCCTTCCTGTCCTCTACCATCTTCTGGAGTCCATTGAAGTTCACGCCTCCTGCTTCAGGGACTCCATCCAGCCACCTCCTTCTCTGTCGTCCCCTTCTTCTCTTGCCCTCCATCTTTCCCAGCATCAGGCCCTTCTCCAGTGAGTCCTTCCTTCTCATTAGGTGGCCAAAGGACTTGAGTTTCCACTTCAGGATCTGGCCTTCTAAAGAGCAGTCAGTCGGGGTTGATCTCCTCTAGGACTGACCGGTTTGATCGCTTTGCAGTCCAGGGGACTCGCAGGAGTCTTCTCCAGCACCAGAGTTCAAAGGCCTCCATTCTTTGGCACTCAGCCTTTCTTATGGTCCAACCTTCGCAGCCGTACGTTGCAACTGGGAAAACCCAGTACATAGTATCAAAGCACAATTCCCTCCTCCAATTAACTGTCATAAACCACATTCTCCAATTAGTTTGAAATGCAGGCTTTCCCTCCAGTCCTCCAGCCCGGCCAATTCTTATCATCTCTTATTTCAATCACCTTGGTTCTCACGCTAGGTCCAGTATTGTTATGTCTAGCTAAACTCTCATGCACGTTCCTCCCCCCCGGCGTCATCTAACTCTAACTCTAAGAGTCAAAACATAAGAAGAAAAGGGTTGCATCTCCAACTGTTGTCAAAGCAAAAACATCCGATGTTAGCAGCGTTGACAACGCACCTCTCGGAATGCGGTTTGGACCCTTCCCAGGAAGAACCAAGTTAAATGCTAGTTGGGAGCACTTTTCCCTTTCTCTTTCCTCAAGGGCTTCTCTGATGCAACATTCAGCCTCATTTTCCCCGGCTGGGTGTTGCAACCCGCGGCTCGGTCTTGCTCGGTATCCACGGGGTAACCCCCTTGGTGCTCTGGCGGAGCTGGTCGTCTTAGTGACGGGTCCCGTGGCAGTCGCACATCCTCTGGTGGACTAGCTGCCAGAGATAATCTTTTTCGTTATTGTGCTCACCAGAACCGGGCGCAGTCTTCTTTAATTAGATTTGTGATGCAATCCTCCTCCACGGCATTCAGAGAGAGGGCGCTGATATTTCTCCTCGAAACATGCCTGCGAGGGGTCTGTACATAGCTTTCTTTCTTTCTCCTTCCTGCTCCTAAACCTTTTATAATAATAATAAAGTTGGAAGGGACCTTGGAGGTCATCTAGTCCAACCCCCTGCTCAGGCAGGAAGCCCGACACCATTTGAGACAAATGGCTGCCCAGTCTCTTCTTAAAAACGTCCAGTGTTGGAGGGAAGGAGGGAGGGAGGAAGGAAGGAAGGAAGGAAGGAAAGAAGAAAGGAAGGGGGAAAAAAAGAATAACAGAATAGCAGATGGAAGGGACCTTGGAGGTCATCTAGTCCAACCCCCTGCTCAGGCAGGAAACCCTATACCATTTTGGACAGATGGCTGTCCAGTCTCTTCTTAAAGACTTCCAGTGTTGGAGCATTCACCGCTTCTGGAGGCAGGTTGTTCCACTGGTTAATTGTTCTAACTGTCAGGAAATTTTCTGCCACTAAAGTCCATCGGGCCCATCCATGCAATCAAATATGTCCTTTTTAATTTTTTTTATTTATCATATTTTTATTCCCTTCATACACAACTTAAGGCAATGAATATACCAATATTCGTTCCTTCTCTTATTTTCCCGACAACAACAGTCCTGTGATAGAGAGTAAATAGCTGAAAATCTCCCAGCTGGTTTTTTCCTAGGGATTCCCAAAGTCACCCAGCCGGCTTTCGTGCCTAAGGCGGAACTAGAACTCACCGTCTCCTGGCGATTGGCCCAAAGTCACCCAGTCGGCTTTCGTGCCTAAGGCGGGACTAGAACTCATCGTCTCCTGCTGATTGGCCCAAAGTCACCCAGCCGGCTTTCGTGCCTAAGGCGGGACTAGAACTCACCGTCTCCTGCTGATTGGCCCAGAGTCACCCAGCTGGGTTTCGTGCCTAAGGCGGGACTAGAACTCACCGTCTCCTGGTGATTGGCCCAAAGTCATCCAGCCCTCTTTCGTGCCTAAGGCGGAACTAGAACTCCCTGTCACCTGGTGATTGGCCCAAAGTCACCCAGCCGGCTTTCACGCCTAAGGCGGGACTAGAACTCACCGTCTCCTGATTGGCCCAAAGTCACCCAATCAGCTTTCATGTCTAAGGCGGGACTAGAACTCACCGTCTCCTGCTGATTGGCCCAAGGTCACCCAGCTGGCTTTCATGCCTAAGGCGGGACTAGAACTCACCGTCTCCTGGTGATTGGCCCAAAGTCACCCAGTCGGCTTTCGTGCCTAAGGCGGGACTAGAACTCTCTGTCTCTGGTGATTGGCCCAAAGTCACCCAGCTGGCTTTCACGCCTAAGGCGGGACGAGAACTCCCCGTCTCCTGCTTTCTAGGCCAGCACCTTAACTGGAAGATCCCACCCTCACCCTGTCGTATTTTGCTGTTTAACTTACTTAATCTCAAGTTATTTTTACATGTCACATTTTAACGTTTTGTGCTTGCTTTTACGTCCTCTTGCTTTTTCAGCTTTTCTGTTTAATTCTTTTAATTGTCTTCTAATCCTTTTTTAATATTTTTTTTTTATCATATTGTCAGCCACTTGACAGCGAGACGGGCAGCGTATCAATTTATGAATTAGATACGTAAAGCTTCTCTACCCCCAGAACGCCGGAACGGGAGACCTTGCAAATCTGACGGGGTGGAAAAGTTTAAAACCAGAAAGTCTGGGAATTGGGGGGGGGGGAAAGCAAAGGACCGACGTGTCTTTCCCGGAGGGGGGGGAATATCTTTTCAAGCCATTTTTTTTTTCTCCTTTTCTTCTCCTCCTGACCCAGGAAGCTGCGAGCCACCTTGGATGAATATACCACCCGGGTCGGGCAGCAAGCGATCGTCTTGTGCATCTCGCCCTCCAAACCCAACCCTGTTTTCAAGGTCTTTGGGGCGGCCCCCCTGGAGAACGTGGTAAGGCTCCTCACCCCTCCCAGTTGGAAACCTGGAAGTGGGATTGCGTGGGGGGGGGAGGGAATGGAAAAGTTTTGGGAATCGCCAGGAGAAGATGGTGACAGCAGAGAGGGGATGTAAAGCCCATGGCGTGTTAGCAAGGAAAGCCTCTGTCTCTGTCTCTTTGCCCTCTCGAAATACTAACCTCGGGAAACCAGGCGGTTATTGTACTTTTACTCAAAGGTAAAAGGTGAGCTACAAGAAGGTCCCGATTGACGTCTGCGTATCTACAACTGTGGGGGTCCTTGGGGCTCTCTGAGCTGGGTGGTTTTCTTGCAGACGTTTCAAGACCCAACTAGGGAACGTCATCAGTGCTAGAAGGGACTGTGGTTCGTACAAGGAGGAGGAGGAGGACTACTGTGAGGTCCTTGATGGTCTCTGAGCCTGGTGGTTTTCTTGCAGACGTTTCAAGACCCAACTAGGGAATAGCATCAGTGCTAGAAGGGAGTGGAAAGGAGAAGAGGAAGGAAGGAAGGAAGGAAGGAAGGCAGGAAGGAAGGAAGGAAGGAAGGAAGGAAGGAAGGAAGGAAGGAAGGAACTGTGGGGGTCCTTGGTGCTCTCTGAGCTGGATGGTTTTCTTGCAGACGTTTCAAGACCCAACTAGGGAACATCATCAGTGCTAGAAGGGACTGTGGTTTGTACAAGGAGGAGGAGGAGGACTACTTTGAGGTCCTTGATGGTCTCTGAGCCTGGTAGTTTCCTTGCAGACGTTTCATGACCCAATTAGGGAACATCATCAGTGCTAGAGGGGAGTGGAAAGGAGAAAGAGAAGGAGAAGAGGAAGGAAGGAAGGAAGGAAGGAAGGAAGGAAGGAAGGAAGGAAGGAAGGAAGGAGAAGAACTGTGGGGTCTTTACTGCTTTCTGAACTGGGTGGCTTTCTTGCAGACGTTTCATGATCCAACTAGGGAACATCATCAGTGCTAGAAGGGAGAGGGAGGGAGGGAGGAAGAGGAGGAGGGAGAGAAGGAAGCAGATTG